CAGCCGGGGCCCCCCCGCCGAGGGCTGCTCCTCGCACGGCGGGACGGGCCTCCCGTCGGAAAGCTCTGCTTGCGCTTCGAAAAGTGAAGGGTTTGGGGTTTAAGCAGATCGCACCGCCTCCGGCGGGGCGGGTTGGGACGGCCCCGGGGTGCGGTGCGATGCGAGGTGGGGAAGGGGAGTTCCCTGCCGCTGCAGTACCCCGCCTGGGTAGACACGTTCCCTTCCCCAGGATGTGCAGGAGCAAATTGTTAAATAAAATGTACTAACCTAACAGTTTCGTGCGTTCTGTGGGCCTTTTTAATCCCCCTTTCTCCACTACTTAATGCTGCTGTGAATGTGCACGACTCCTCTGACTTGCCTTTCACAGGAAAATCAAACCCTAGCAAAAAATCCTTCATTATTTCATTTTGGGAATAACTTTTTAGCCTTTTTTTTTTGTCAGCTTAGCAGCCAAATTAAATGCAAGTTTTTACCCCAAGCAAAACTTTCCAAACTTGGCAGATGGTCTCTTACACTTATTAATCTTTCTGATTAATAAATCCTTGTGGCAGCCAGTGGGGAAGGGAAGCATTGCCTCCCTTTTAGATGAGTGAATAGAGAGGGAAGTAAGCCGATCCCACTGAGATCTGCGCTGAGGGGACGTGGGTGTCCTGGCCCCAAAAGCAGCCGCCAAACAACACGCCCACCACTCTGGAGCCAGAAGCTTTTCAGTGCCTTTCCTTCAACGCTCTCAAAAAGCCACGCCTGAAATTCCTGGCAGTACAAGGGTGCAAAGGGACAGCCTAAAGTCCAAAGTGACACTCCCCGTTAGGTTAATGTTTGCTAAATCACAGGAAGCGCACATACTAGCCGTCTTGGCCAAGATAAGAACCAGTTCAAAACTGCGATTGCTCTCAGCCCTGTTTGCAACCTACTGACGTGTCCACCTCCCCACGGTCAGAGCCACGGAGTTTGTCTTGCTGCTGCCTGTACGTTTGCAGAGGGATGGGTCTGCTCCTGAAGATTTTCATCCCCTTGCTGGGACTGGCGCTGGCCTTTTATTTTTATTCAGCACCCGAGAATTTCAGTGAAGGTAAGTCATTGGAAAACCACGCTTTAAAACTACACACAGTCGGTGAGGCTGCAGCCAGAGCAGCAGCGGGGGCCCACGCAGAAGAGCACGGGCCATTTGAGGGGTCTTTCCAAGTGCAGCTGGAAAAGCCAAAGCATGGGAGGGCTGAGGGCTCGGAGGGGAGCGCAGGCTGACCCCGGTGCCAGGGGTCAGAGCACGCTGCACCGCACAGGAAAGCCCACGGGATTGTGGTGGGTCTGCTGGGATGCACAGTATGTGTCTGATCTCAGTAAATTATTTCTCTGGGAAACATACAGTTTTAAACACTTAAGCCTTTTATTATTCGGCTCTCGCCATTTTCAAAAGCCACTCCCAGACCAGGCTGGACGCAGAGCTCAAGCCTTGCACATACTTCCCATCAAGCTGGGATTAGTGACCAGGCTCCAGTGAGGGCCTGCACGAGTGGTGCACGCTGCAGTGGGGCAGCGCTGCTGCCTGCAGCTCCCCGCACCTGAGTGCCCGCATGCGGGGGGACAGCGTGGGCTGTGCTGGCTCTGAGCTCTGCGCCCTCCTCTCCAGAGATGCTCCGGGGAAAACGTGTTATTGTGACCGGAGCCAGCAGCGGCATCGGGGAGCAGATGGCGTATCACCTGGCACGCATGGAGGCCCACCTACTGATCACAGCGCGGACGGAGGCCAAGCTGCAGAAAGTAAATGGCAAGCAGAGCATGCCGGGCCAGCAAAACACATTTGCAACCCAGAGCCCCACGGGCTGGCAGAATGCAGATATTCACCCCAGCCTGGGCACGCGGGGATGCCAGATACCCTGCAGATCCACCAGCACAAGCCTGTTCTAACACACACCCCCCAGACCGCAACAAATGGCATTTTCAATGCTAACAGCACGGCATTGCTCTCTCCGCAGTCTTCAGCTGTGAATGCTGATCTCCACCACCAAGGACAACGCTATTCTGCCCAAGCCCTGGTCTGATCAACCCTTGCCCTTTCTCAAAGCCTGAACTGTCTTTTGCATCCCGTATACAACAGAATCAAAATTAAGCAGTCATAGCCCTATTTATAAACACTAAACATTTGCCTCAGATGTGCTACTGTTTAACTCTGCAGCCAGAAACATTTCTCTCGTCCCCTCCCATGAAGGGAGAAGGGTTTCCAGCAGGACAGGGAGACGCACTGCCCACCTGCCCTGAGGCAGCACAGCCTTTGTGGGATGGGGGTGGGCAGGGGGGTGTCCACAAAGGGGGGTCCATTGCCAACACCGTTCTCGCTGTTGCCGCAGGTTGTGGAGCGGTGCCTCGAGCTGGGTGCCGCCTCCGCCCGCTATGTGAGCGGCTCCATGGAGGACACCACGTTCCCAGAGGTGGTGGTGAAGGAGGCTGAGAACACCTGGGGTAGGTGGCGGGGAGCTGCTGCTCCTCACTCCCCAACGCACCCCGTGCTACATGTTGGGGCCATTCCAGCCACCAAGAAGCTGCTTTATTTTGAGATGCCGGTCGCAAACATTCTCTGCTTCCAGGAGGCCTGGATATGCTCATCCTAAATCACATCGGTTACAGCTACGTCAACTACTTCGATGGCGACGTTGGGCACGTACGAAAGCTCCTGGAGGTCAACTTCCTCAGTTACGTGGCGATGACCATGTCTGCCCTGCCCATGCTGAAGGAGAGCGAGGGCAGCATTGTTGTCGTTTCATCCGTGGCAGGTGAGCACACAAGGGGCCAGGCTCTCCCTGCCCACGTCCCTCTTCTTCAAAAGGCAGAATAAGGACCACAAGGCAGAGAGCTGCCCTGCTGGGAGTCAGGATCATAGAATCAGCATATGATTTATATCCCAGATGCGCAATTCAAGTCCTCTGAGGGATTTACATTCCATGCCCCAACCGCGTCTCCGTGCACCAACTAATCACCTTCACGCAGTGCGGCCGAGGTACGCCACTGCAGGTTATTTTATGTGCGCAGCCGCATATTATACAGGCATCTGCTACACGTGGGTATGTACACAGGAATACCAGAACAGTATCACCCACAACTGAAGGCACTTTGCGCCACTGTATGCCACATGTTACATTTTAAACATTCCTGCATTTGTTTATTTCTCCCAAGAATCCATGACAGATTACTCAGTCATCCTAAATCACAATACTGTGGCTACTTGAAGGACAAGAGGAAGGGAGAGCTGTGCAGCCTGGTGTCTGCCCAGCACACGAACCCTGACATTGTGTTTCTGCTCCAGGTAAAGTTGCTCCCCCATTTGTTGCTCCCTATTGTGCAACTAAGTTCGCCTTAGATGGATTCTTCAGCTCCCTGCGACAAGAATTCATTGTAGACCAGGTCAACGTCTCCATCACACTCTGCATCCTGGGCTACATCAACACAGGTAAGCTCAGCATCACCAGGGCCCTGCCACTCTGTGTTTCCAGACAGAGCTAAGCCAAGCCAAGCCCACCACCTGCCCTCTGGCCCCAGGCTGCTCAGCACGCTGCTTCACCACCACTGCAAGACCCTCAGGCTGCAGTGGCTGTGCAATTGCAGAAACAGGACCCCAACTCTTTAAAGTGTGGCCCAAGACCTTTGGCTCTGCTATCCTGGCAGTAAATCCAGGGCAGGTGGGGATTCCATCCTATGGTCACTCAAGAGGTGGAAAGGAATGGGAAGGACATCACTATAGTTGTTATTTACTTAAACTATTCTAAGCCTTGTTAAGTAGGTCTGATCCCCAGAGTTTGTCCATTTGTTAGAGGAAGCTACAGACACCCTGACTGAGCCGGCGGGTGCCTGTGGCAGCCTCTCCATCCAACACTGCTCCTTCCCTCCCTGTCCTCCCGTCCCTCCAGAGAGCGCCGTGCGAGCGATCTCGCATGTCATCCAGGACACGCCAGCGCCGAAGGAGGAGTGCGCGCTGGAGATCATCAAGAGCGGGGCGCTGCGGCAGCGGGAGCTGCACTACCCATCCCTGGCGACAGGCAGCCTGCTCTTCCTCCGGGCCATAGCCCCCGACTTCCTCGACTCCTTAATCAGGAGCAGCTACAAGGTGGAAAACATCAGAAGAACATAGTCCCCGGGGCAGCAAGCGCGCTGGGACACCTTGGGTCCTGCACAAGGGCTTTGGGTGTTAATCCAGCTACTCAGGTGCCCTTTTCCATGCTGCCGGGGCAGCCCCACGCTCACGCCCCTGCCAACCCGAGATGGGATGCACCAGAGGCCTGTAACACACAGCATGAAAATGTCCTTCTCAGTAATGAACTTTTACAACTGGCTTCTTCTGACCAAGAGGTACTTCAGGGAAGTCCCTGGCAGGATCTGCTGCCAGTGTCCCGCTCACCAGCAGGTTTCCTGCTCACGCTCCAGGAACCGTTCCCCCCACCAAAAGCCACAACGGCAGCGGTGCTGAGCACTGTGGGAAGGAGCCGAGCCATGGCCCGAATGAGGATTTGGGACAAACCACCCCAAGCCATGAGAGGGTCTTTGAGCCAGGAAATTTTGTGTCATGTATCCCTTCTAGGCTGGTCTTTGCAAAAATAAATCCTACGTTACTTTACAAGATCTCTGCTTTTACTTGTGTTCGTTTTCCATGTGCAGAGGCACAGAGCCCTTATCAGCGCCCAGCTGGTTAAACCGACCTCCCTGCATGATTTGCATTAACGCAGCTTTCACTTCTCTAAAGACCTTAATGAATTTCTGCCATTCGTGACCTCTCCTCAGCTGCTGATACACACTTTTTTCCCCTTTCCAACCTGTGAGAAGCCGTAAAATAATAGCATTACTGTACTTCCCTAAGTCTGGATTTCTCTACCCCAAAGCAGCCTGGGCAGTCTCGGTCACCGAGTGCCACCAGCAGCTCCATGAACCAGCACTCAACCTCCGCGTGTCAGAGACCGATAAAGGGAGATGGCCTGAAAGATAATTGCTAGCTCTGCGTGGAGAGAAGCTGGAGACTTTGGGGTCCCAAGATAACCCCAATCCCGCTGCGAGCTGGGCCCCTGCGCCCCGCAGCCAGGCTGCGAGCAGAGACAGGAACCGGGGCTCGGCTGCGGCTGCAACGTTTCCTGTTCTAGACAGCGAGAAAGAGAGCGAGAGCAGCAAAATGAGGGGGTTGGCACGAAGATGGCAGTTGGAGCGTGTTTGCAGCCGATAACCCCCCGCTCACCCCACTCCTCTGCAGCAGTCGAGGGGTAGGACGGGACCCCTCGGGCCAGGTAAGTGCCTGCAGCGCCGGGGCTGGCAAGGGATGGAGGGGAGCGGAGGCTGCTGCGCTCAACGCAGCGGTGTGCACCTTTTTTTGCTCTTTTTTCACCCCACTTTCAGCCTATATGATTGACACCGGGAGGCTGTAACATGAACCAGCAAGAAGCACTTTTTTTTTTAATTTCCCTTGAAGCACAAAGTGTAACAGCTTGGAAAGCAAAGATAAATGACATGTTTGTTAATTAGAGAACGTAATTTGGGGTAACAGAAGGAGGAAGTAGAGTATTAGCTCGTCCAGAAGGCCTCAACAGTTCACTCAGCTTGGGGTGAGTAATGGACTGTGCATTTCTTTAAGTTTTACCTTGCTTTGAAGTGCATTTTTGGTTAACTGAGGCTAGTACAAGAGCTGCTCTGGGATGCAAGGTGACAGGCTGGGCAGCCCAGAGGCAGCGCAGGTGGGAGAGGGGCTGAGCTATTCCTGATGGGAAGAGCTGGATGAGCAGGGACTGAGCAGGACCCCCAAGGTCCGGATGGAACGTGCAATCCAAGAAAAAATAGTTGAAAAATCCTTTTAAAGTGTCCTGAAGCGTTTGGAGCAGTTTGGCTGCAGCTACACGCTTTGTCCCAAGCTATGGAGTTCGTGCCCAGCTTCCAGGGAGCACACTGTGGGGTGTGGGCGCACGCCCAACTTGCATTTCTCGGTGTGAAGCTGTTGGCCAGATCTTGCCTTGCCTGCAGGGCCAAGGGAAGCATGTGTGCACCAGGAGGAAAGGCCCTGGGTGAGCACAGTGGGATTGCCATTGCACGGACATGAAAGCTGCATGGGAATAACCTGCTCAGCCATTTACACCCCCAGACTCCTCCAGCTGTAAGTGTATCACAGCAAGAAAGACTTGAATAGTGAAATACTGTTGGGATCCTTCAGTAAATTTAAGCTAAATTTAGAGACTCTTCAGAAGCTGTTCAAAGAAGAGAATATTCAAATAAAAATGCATAGGAGTGCACTAGCAAGTGCCACACTTCAGGGGTCTCAAAGCCCACATCCCATGCAGGCTCAGCATCGGGAGCAGTGACCTGGCTGTGAGTTTGCAGGCACCTTGCCTGCCCAGAGCAAGAGCTGACAACCCTGAGAATGCCGTTCTCCTTCCAAAGGAAGCCCCTGCAGTGAAAAGATGGCACTAGTAAACGAGCTTTGAGTACACCACAGCTAGCACAAGGACAATAAAAAGAATTATGGAGCAGATTTTAATGCAGACTAAAAAACACGGAAGTATCATCTACGTAAATGGGGTTTACTTGTTCCAATTTTTTTTTTCCATTAGACTCAACAACTTCCTAATGCTTGAGACAGAATGAGACCAATGAAGTTTTGGTGGTTTTGTTTGACAATGAGCAACATTTAGTCTGAATTTTCAGAGACTAAAATTCCTTTTTCCCCCCTTCTTTGCTACATTAACATGATTTACTAAACAGGAGAAAAGCCCCACACCAGCTACAGCAGCTCCCAGGCTGAGCCCCTCGAGGATGGGCACCCCCTGAGCAACGCTCACAGGACATGCATGGGGGTGACAAACCTCTTCACTGCCGATGGGGCAAGGGGACAGGAGAGGGGGGTGCAGCTATTGCTCGAGGTGGGGAAGGAAGAGGAACAGATGTGGGTAGTTCCTGCTCAGCTTTCTTTTCAACCGATGCTGAGGCAAAGGACCAAACTCACTCAGTATGACCAAAGTCCAGTAAAAAACAACGCACCAGTGGCTTGCAAGTGCGCAGAGGAGTCAGCAGGAGGGAGGAGGTTTCATCTCCACACCCTGTGTGTGCACACAGAAGGTGCAATAGTGCTGAAATGGAGGAGGCTCCTCCTTCAGCCAAGCCACAGCCTTGTTTGGGCCAGAAATGGAGGCAGAATTCATGCCTGAGGCAAACCGGTACCACTGAGAGCCTGCGCCCCGGTTCTCGAGCACAGCTTAACAGGAATTAACCCCAAAGTGTAACGATCAGTTGCTACGCTTGTATTTGCAGTGAAAGAACCAAGTCACAGCTCGGCTAGCACAGAGCCAGGGCTGCAGCCAGCGAGGCTGTGGGAGGACCAGTGAAGGTGAACAAGCAGACAGCAAAGTGCTACCCAGCATCTGAACCCAGAGCTGGGGAGGGAGGGAGCAACTGGGATAAGAGAAAGCAGCACTCTGCAGCTGTGGTCTTCAGAGGGTGGGTGCACTCAGACCGGCAGGGACTTTGCCAGATACTTCATTGGAAAAAAAAAAAACCAAACCCCAAAACAAAACAAAAAACCAAAACCCACAACAAACCCTTAAAATGCTGCAAGATTTTCACTGCTCCAGATCTCTCTCTGCACACAGAAAAGGCAGCCACCACTAAGAAATACAATGCAACTGTTTAAAAAGTCAGTCACACCACAGCACCACTGTATGTGGACCTATCAAAAAAAAAAACCTGGCAAAAGAAATGCACACTTAAAAGTTTCCTGCAGAAATAGCAGCTATCACTTCTCCTGTTTTCATTAGGTTGGCAAAAGACCTATGGCAGCATGCAGAAAAGAATCAGATTGAGTAACAGAGGGATTTTATTTTATCAGAAAAGGAATTCTCCCAGAGGAAGCATCCTTACTCACTAGCAAGGCCAGCTTCACGAGGTTGTGTTGAGTGTTCAAAACTCTGTTCCCTGCATCCCCCAGGTCAGCACCCACCTGATGGAGGGGCAAGAACAGCAAGGTGTCTTTTACATAGCCAACACATACGAGTTCATGGACAACAGATTTCTCCAGGAACACCACTTGCACCTATTGCATGAGGGCCCCATCATCAGTGTCTGATCCCTTACATTCATTTAACCTTAGAAATAATTAGTTTTCACTCAAATAGTGTCTTTTCCCTTGGTTTCATCAGGCCAGAGGATCCCAGAGCAGACCAGTAGAGCTGTGCCCAACATGATCAACCAGCCCGAGAAGGCACGGCCGCGGTACAGGCGTGTGAGCGAGAGCTACGATGAGAAGTGCGAGCGGCGGCACGAGACGCGGGAGAACCTGCGGCGGCGAAACAACGCGACGACCTGCCGCCGCCTTGGGAGGGGAGCGGAGGAGCCGTCGCAGAGCCCTCGGCAAAAGGAGTTCCTGAGGAGGAGAAACCTGGCAAGCGATGCTGGAAGGACACCACTGGGACAGGAGGCTGAAGCACGCATCCCCCTGGACCCCTCCTCGCAGGGGGAGCCGAGACTGCCCATCCTGCTCCAGGTAACGCCTGCCCCTGGAGCACAGCTCGGTGCTCGGCCTGCTCCAGCTGGCACCCACTAAAGCCCCCACATGCCCCACCGATGGCAACGGCATCGGGATCCAAATCAAGGTACAGCCAGAAAGTGAGTGCACGGACAGAGACGTGCATTTTGTTATAAACGGCCGTCAGGCACGTGTAAACGCTGCTGCCTCCCTCGCAGTGTGCTCCTCTCCTTTTCCAAACCCTGAACCAGATGGAGATTTTCTGCTGTTCCCTCAAGTACAACCCCACATCCTACCTGCCAGATTACAGTTTTACACTTACACAAATTACGTGTACCCTTGAAAACTGAGCTCTAAACACTTGGCTTCCCTCCGTCACCTTCGCTGTTAGCAGAAAGGGTGCAGGAATTAGGAGAGCACTCCCTGCCTACTCACCGTAACCCAGAGGGCTCATTGCCTTGAACAATTTCTATAGAAAGATGCAACGCGAACACCCCAATCCGAGAGCCAAACAGATTTCCTTCTAAACTTACATCCCCTGCAAAAGGAACAATTCCTCTGGTACGTTGGGAGTTCATCCTGGGGGCCTCACAAACCCCTGTGGGCAGAGGCAGCCGAATGCAAGGTACGCCCTTGAGCTCCCTTTGCAGCACAGGAGGGTGCAGAGCAATTACCTGCCTCCTGCTGCCGTTCGGTTCACCAGGTTTAATGCAGGAATCTGGAACAAGCACTTACATGCACAGGGCCCATGCACACTGACATCTCCTGTTTGCTTTTGCAGAGGGGCAGGAGGCTGGGGAGGGGGGTGCAGAGGGGCGATGGGGTGAGCACTCCACTCCCCCAGCCTCAGCGAGAATCCAGAGCAGAACAGTACCTCTGCTCCATGGCAGCCAAATGGTAGCAGGGATCCAAGGTAGGACCCAACTCCCTGCCACCAGAAGTCCTCATCTTTTCCAAAAATAACTCAAGACACCTTGAGGGGGTTCCTTGTCCTGTTCTGATATAGGTTCCTCTCCCTCCTCAGAAGCCAGTGGGTTTTCTCCCACTTCCCCCCAGAGCTCTGGTGGGAAGATCCTTGTGGATTTGCCATGGTTTCTTGGCACATCCTTGATGCTCTTCACCTGGTCACCGCAGGTACAAAGCCTGACCTGGCCACAGCCTCTTCCCCTCCATTCCTCACAGCCCATTTTGGGGAGATGCTGACTCGCACTGCCCTCTCGTTCCAGCGCCCGTGGAGCTGCCCTGTGCTCCCCCCTGCACACTCCCCACTCAGCCTCAGCGTCCCCCTCAGCATTTCGGCAGGAGCTGCCCCCAGGAGAGGTGCCTCTGTGAATACCCAAGGTAGGTGAGGGATGCTCGGGTCTCCCAGCCCAGCAGCAGCCACGGCATTTCCCTCCCACCTCTAAGTCTCCATCGGGTGGTTTGGGATGCGAGCTGGTAGCTCCGCTCTAACCCGAGCTCCCCTGCCAGCAGCCCCACTGCACTGTTTTACCATCCCAGTCAGAGTTTCCCCTGTTAAGAATATTTTTCCTGTGGAGGGATAAACCAGCCCAGCCCACAGCTCAACAACCAGGGCTGCTGAGCAGATGCTCTGCCCTACGGCTTCCCTGTAAGTGCCCCAGATTATCCAGGGGTCCGGGGGCTAACGTCCGTCTGCAGGATGACTGAACTTCCACTTCTCTGTCCATCTGAGCAGGACTCAACTTTGCCTCTTGTCCCTATTGAGTTGTGTTACTGGACACTGTTTAAGCAACTGTTCTCCATCCCAGACGCGATGCCATCTCCGAGAGCCGAGACGGACAAATAGAAGAACTTCGCGACCCCTCGTGGGGGGGATCATTCACATCCTTTCACTTTGCTTTCACAGGAACCCAGACTCTTATGAATCCAAGTGCAGGAGTGAAAGACTCGAGCCAGCAGACAGAGTAAGCCAGTGCTCCCCTCCCTCCCCAGGCTCCGCATTCAGATACCCGCAGGGCAGCAGCCTCTGATGCCAAAGCCCAAACGCGTTTCAGCTCGGCACAAGCTTTCGCTGTACAAACACCCACAACTCTGCTTGGGCGGGGGGGGGAGCGGCTGGTGTCCAGAGCCACGGACTCCTGCAGACCCCCGCATCCCACTCACCTCAGTAACACGCTTTCTTTTTTATTTTAGTTGTGGAATAGCAGTTTTAAATAAGGTAAGCAAACCACAGCAATAACTAGCCTTGAACTCCTGCAAATGAAATCAGTTTCTAAAATTTCTGACCAGGACTCTGACTGGTGCTGAACTTCCATAGTTTCAAAAATGATGACATTGCTGCTGCAGGAGAGAAAGGCACCTCTGTCCCATGGGAATCTACTGTCCTCGTTCAGTTACTGCCCTGATTTGATACACTACATAGCAAAGATGCCATAGCTCCAAGGCTGTAAGTTGCTGCAGAAATATTTCCACTTCCCTGGAAAAACCAAACAAAGCAGCAGGCTCTCCTCCTCCACCCAGACACAGGCTGTTAATTTCAGTTTTATTTCAAAATATTTGGCTTTTGTAGACAGTTCCTAAAATGTTTATAAACTGAAACAATCCTATTATTTTTAAACATTTGCCCTTTCCCTTTCAGGAAATAGTGCAGCTGTCCAACTACCTGAAGGTAGGTACCACATATTAAGCACCACTGGGAAAGCAGGTCTTCAGCAAGTACAACAGCACCTTTTAAACTATTGTATGCACGGGTGTTACATACCCGATTTTAACGTGGCCAAGAAAGCCTACAGATAAGCCACTGAACTCAAAGACCTGTCTGAAAACCCCCAAGTGGCAGAAGCCCTGACCCAGAGCTGGAGGGGGGAGCCAGGCTGTCTCCACCAGCTCCAAGGGTCCCCACTGACCAGCTCTCCCCTTCCCCGCAGGAGGCCCTGCACCGCGAGCTGCTGCTCAAGCAGAAGATGGTGATTTTGCAGGAGCTTTTCTCCACGCTGCTGCAAGCGTCGGAAAAATCCTGGCAGGTACCAGGGAGCTGCTGGGGCTGGGGGCAGGTTTTGCCTCAGCGGGACTGGGCTTATGTGCAGAAGCAAGAGCAGCCCACGGGTCTCCCTCTCCTCCTGGGAGCTGAGCTCTAGCTCTGCCTGCCTTCGGTGCGTTACAGGTACAGGTTTACCAGGCAATGCTGTCGCCTGGCCGACAAGACATCCCGCAGAACCGTTCCCTGCAAGCAGCTGCTTGCCTTGCCTCTTTCCTTGCTGCCGCCTTGCTTTTTAGGGAGGGCTGAACACAAACTCAGAAGTTTGGGAGTCGCTTTGCTTGAAGTTTTTCCCTTTTGTGCCCTAAAAGAGTGTTACAAAGTGTACTTTGCTCTCAGATCAACAGGAAGTGTAAAACCCTTTTCTTCTGTAAGGTTTTGGGGGTTTTTTATACCTGCCTTTCCCAATTTTTCTTAAATAAAAAGCAAACAGAAGTGTCTAAGTGGGGAAAAAAAAAAAAAAAATTGAATAAACCCAACCAACCATATTCCACCAAGTTTTCTTTCCTAGTCAAAGGAAGTTTCAAATATTTTTAATTTTTTTTGTCCAAAATAAGAATTTTAGATGCACCTAACTGGCACGCTGAACTGCTGGCAAACACTGCCTTGGATGGGAAAAAGACAGACTGTTTCTTAACGTGGGAACGCAACAGCCAGAAGCGCCCACCCAGCACCGCAGCCTTCCTGCCGAGCTCCCGGCCACCAGTCTGCCCCTCGCCAGGGCCCGCAGGGACACCCCCACACACACTGCTGCCCCGGTGCCCCCGGGGATGCGTTCTGGGCCCCAAACACGGGTCAGGGCACCCTTTGACGCTCTGGCACATCTGCTTAACCTGAGGGGCACAGCTGAATTGTGGCCTTGTATCAATCTATTTCCCCAGAGCTCAAACAAAATCCTCTGGGAAGCACTGAACCAGGGCCCGTTTGTTTTTTTGCTCTCAAGAGGCAAAATTAAGGTCATGCATTTTATGCAACATATGAACTGTTTTATATAGGATTATTAAATCAAATATTAATTTACAGTTCATTGTGCCATTAAAAAAAGTGGTTTGAAAGTTTGGTTGGGACAGAAAAGCAAGTGATTGGGTGAGATGGTGTAAAAAAAACTTGTGTTAGACATTCTGTGGTTAGAAACTTCCGTCTTCACTCGCTTCTTCAAATAATATGAGCAGGAAAAAACACCCTGACACACTCTGCAGGAAGCAGCCATGAAACCTCAGATTAGAAACAGGTGGGTGCGCTTCGCTTCTTGCTACCTCTGCTACAGAAGGGAGACTTTGCTGCTGCCTCTTGCATTCAGCCGTTCGTCACACTGAAAATTACCTGCTGCTGGCGCTGGAGCCAACGGGGCAAACAAGGCAGATGCTGCCTGCTCGGAGGGGATCCCCTGGGAGCTGCGCGGAGGGAGGCGGCTGCGGGCAAGTGGCTTCTCCAGGAGGGGCTGGCAAAGGGGGGTACGAACAGGTCCTACACCATAACGCCGTGCGGCAGAAACTGATGGTTGGCTGCCTGTTTCCAGGCCTAGGTGAGATGCCAAATGCTCGTTGTAGCAGCTCTGTAATCCTTTCTGATTTTTTGGGTTTCAAAGAAATGCATACATGTGAGTGATACGGCCAGTAACTCTTGAAACGACTACAGAGTCATTTCTGAGGTGCTGCTTGTGTTGGTGGGTGCTTCTGGCTTGATGGAGCAAGTGAATATTCTGCAGGAGGATGGGAGTGTCATTAAACTGAAGGGATAAAGCATTTGGTTCCTTCCCCCTCCCATTTTACTTCTCAGTTAGAGACCTTCCTGCCACAGGTCTGCACCTTAAACCCCCCATCTGTGGTGAAACTTGCTTAGTTGATTGAAAAATGCTGCCAGATGAAGGAAGCTAAGTAAATCTCAGTTATGATTATTAAGAGTAATTCATTTTAAGCTGTTCTCAAGAAAGTTGCTACTTTGTTTTCTTCCCTTTCTGACCTCTAAAGTTGAGCATGACTTTTGGAAGCACCTTGCAGCTCTGCAGAGTTTAAGCACTTTGTCATTTCCAGTGCATTACTGCTACCACATGTGTTCATTTTTCCAGTGCAAACACAGTGTTTGTGCAAACTGGCAGCCTTCCAGAAACAGCATTTATTATTATTGCTTTAAACCAGCTTTTAAAACTTACTAAGACAAGGAGTATTACAGAATTCACTGATCACAGGACAACCAAAACACTATAGCTGTCATCCAAAACCAGTTTAAAATACTTATATGGTGCTTAAGTGACAGCAGTAGAGAAATGCAGAGGAGTTTGAGAGAGGTTTTGGAGCTGCCCATTCAGGCGACCTGAGACTCTCTGAAGAGGGCTATGGAGGATTCAAATCTGGTATTTGCTAGAGCGGGTGTATTTTGAGCATGTTAGCTCTAACCCTTTCCTCTGCCTGGCTTCCATCAGGTGTCTTTGGGCTCTCTAGCAAGGCTCAGTGCAAGGACGGTGGTCAAACGGTCACCCGGGACACTGCAGAGGAGAGGAAAACCACCACCATCTGATGATGGTGGCTATTGGGGGGGTGGTGGTGCTGTTGTTCTGTTTAGTTGTGGGTGGGGGTCTTTGGTTGGTTGTTTATTTTTTCATATTTTGTTTGGGTTTTTTTAAAGCAGCCCCTTTCGTGTAGATAATCTTCAACACAAAGGCTTGACCAAGACTTGCTCACATCACTTTTCTGAGCAGAAGCATAGCAATTTCTTGTGCCCTCCCACGTATGCGCACACGCTCACTCACCCGTCACTGCCACGCTGTTCTGGTAACTGCCCTAACCAACAGCTTATTCCATTTAGGGAAATCTTTATACTCTGTTCTTTTGCCAATTTATAAGCTGCATCTCCATGAAAGGAGTTTGCCAGCACAGTTCCGCTCTGAAGCGTAGGAAGGGCCCAGTGCTCTGTTGCCTTGTGCTTTGCACAGTCACTTACATCTGTGAGCAACTGCTGTAACACCACCAACCTTTGCAGATAGCAGGATAAAATAAACTGCAGAGGAAAACTAGGCATAATATTTCACATATAAAAATGCTTTCCAAAATTCCACCTACTTCTAAGAGGACAGAGCCTTTAGTTCTTTGTACCAGCAACTGAACAGGGAAGATTTAGTCTTTGGGACTGTAACCTTACTTCTGTGCAAATTTAACCAGTGCTAAGACATCAGGGAATCTAGTTTTCCTCAGGTCTAACAGCTATTCCCGTAACATCAAGGAGTTGCTTTTCAGAGGCTTGGCTTCAAGCAGCCGTAAGCAGAGAAGATAGCGGCGTTCTCAGTATCAGTGGTGGAAAAACAGCCTACGTGAACTCTTTGCTAGAAATTTTATCTGAATTTGCATGCAGTCTGGTTTCACAAAACCCAAGAAGCCTGACTAACACTGAGAGGAGATTATAATAAGGAAAATGAATCATCACTGTTGCCCTCTATCCCCCTGCCCAACTGCTAGATGTTGCAACGCAAACCCAACCTATTTCCTACGGGAACCAGCAAGACAAGACCTTAACACCAGCTGGAGCTCCAGGCAAGGAGCGTTGCAAGGAGGAACCATCAGCCGGGGAACAGGCAGCAGCTACGCTTCCCCAGACCCACCCAGACTAACCTGAAATCCCCTTGCTCCTAACTTCTCACTGCGAGTACCTGCACTCAGTAACCAGTGGAACTGTCTCAGGGGAGTTTTTCAGTGCATCAAAGTTTTACTTCCCCCCATACCCCATTTATGCAGAGATCACGCAGGATTGTGTGAACTCTTAAGCACTCACTGAAGAGACTTTGACCAAATTCGCCACCATATTACAGATGAACAGAGAAAATGAATCAACACACAAGCTAACAAAACATTGGGGGCATATTGTATGGTTCATGATCCCACACATTGGTTCAATTGTTTCTTCCCCAGGGTCAGCTGAATGAAGATAAACTGAAGTGTAAACTAAGGGCGCTTGAAAATCAGCTGCAGGCTTGCACCCAGGTAATGTCTGATTCACTGAGAAACAAACATGGGTGAAGAAAGGCCTAAAAACAAAATACCAAACCACATAATTAGGTCAGGTCTCAGTTTCTAGAGCAATCTGATTAGATACGTAACTGAAAACGATTTTTCCTCTTTGCTGAAGCAATGCTTCACAGCAAATGAGCAACAGCCTTTACACACTCTGGATTTGCTAATATTCAGGTTTAGCAAGATTAGGACAATGCCAGGCAAGACCCTTCAAGCACTTTAATTCTTCCTTTAAAGAGTTACTCGAAGGAGTGTGTGAAGAAGATCTTGATAGAGATGGAGGACCAGAAACAGACCTACGAGCAGAAGGCAAAAGAGGCTCTTCAGAAGATGCTGGAGGACAAACTCCAAACAGAGCAGCAGCTGCAAAACTCTCAGGTAAACAATGTGTTTTACACCCGCCTTTGCTTTAATCTAGTCCAACTGTGATAAAGAGCCCCCCCATTTCAGGGAAAGGCGATGACTAGCTTACCATTGACAACAAAGATGCATAAATACCACATTTTAGCTAAGTGGAGCCTATGCTTGTTTTGTGAGCCACACATCAGGTTATTAAAACCAGCACACAGCTGGGGAAATACACCACTGCTCGGCAGTTTGAAGTGTAATCTCTCCTCCTCCACCATCCCCTCGTCCCATTCCCGGCTCCGCACACACACAGGGAGCGACAAGCCGCACACGCAGCCATCCAGGGCATGAGGTCTCCAGAGATGCTTTTCCTGGAGTTGCTCTTATATGAAAACGGATTTTCCCCAAGAGGTAGCCATTTGCTTTGACCCATAGCATAACTGGTATCTTTAGAAAAACCAAGTAAATCTCATCCCAAATACTACCAGGCTTCTTAGTCCTCTCGGCAGCGTGGGAACTCCCACCACAAACCCTCTGCCCATGTTCGCTCTGTCCATCAGATGGCATCAGCCCCACGCAGGTTATTGTAACGCTGGTGCAGGCGGAGGCAGCGCTGCCCCAGCCCCGCGCAGAGGCCAGGACGCTGTTTGGGGCAGCCTGGCGTGGTCCCCCCGGGCCACGGGTCCCAGCCCACCCGTGGGTCCTTTCTCTCTTCCCTAGAGAAGCCTGGCAGCAACGAGAGAGGACCTTGCCTTTTGGAAAGAGCACTACACCACACTCAAAGCCGAATTGACCAAGGTGACCACGGCGCACACCGAGCTCCAGAACAGCTTCCACGTTCTGCAAAGCGAACTGCAGGTGCGTGAGCTCCGTTCTCCCATTCGCAAGCAGGGAAGCCCCCAGGATGGGATCACCATGTAGGAAAAAGCCCCTTCGATGAAGCGCAGTGGCCACGCGCGCAACCCAGTCCCTCAGCTCGGGGCTGCCTTGCGTGGCCGGAAAGCCGGCGAGGCCGGGTGCTCGTGGGCTGCCCGCGGCGTGGTGCCGGGGCTGGGCTCACGCCGGGGCTCTTCTCGCCCCCAGCGAGTGGACGAGCAGCTCGGCCAGGCCCTGCGCAGCCTGCAGAGCGAGCACGCCGCGCTGCGCCAGCACGCCAGCGCCTTGCGGGAGGACAATGACCAGAAGGCAGAGCACATCAGCGCCATCGAAGGTATCGTGGGCAGGGGAATGGGGAGCGAGTCTTGTCCAAATCAACAGGGGTTATGAGGAAAATACTCTTAATATCCTCATCCTTAAAGCCAAGCGCACACGTATGCTAAAGGCTCTCGCTCTCTGCGCACCTCAGCTTGCCCAGAAAGCTTCCAAAGGGCTCCTGAAGTCGTTTCCAACTAGATTAAAGGATTTCAGAGAAGTCAAGTGACTTTTCTAGAAGAAAGGATGGAAAGGGAGACCTGAAAATAAAATCAAAGATGAGTCCTCAGCTCTGATGAGGACTTTGCATCCTTGTCAGACCCACCAAGCGCAGCAGTGCGAGCCCGCCCCACGTCAAGGCAGCGCCCATTACCGTCTGGGGTGCTGCTGCATGGGGGTGGATATTAGCAGTGGATGAATCCATGCTAGTAGTGTCTGAAAGTACCAGTTCAGATAGAGGCAAGGAAACTCACACATACTTCACGTGGCTATTTTAAAACACAATTAGGGAACAGTAAATGGTGGCAGTTCTATTTTCATAGCAGGTCTCACATGAGCCGCTTTAAAATAAACCATAAATTAATAGAACGTAAGGCACACTAGAAAAAGCTACCAACACTGAAAGGGCAATTAACAGCTAAAACCCCTGTCTGTACAGCGTAGCCAACGCTATCCAGTCCACTTTACACATGTGGAGAAAGTTGCCATCCTTGCACAAAGATACCCAGAGATTTACAGCAACCTTGATTTTCTTCTATCATTATTTCAGATAAATTGCAAAAAGAACAAAAGCAGAAGGTAACACTGGAGGCAACAATCAGCCATTTGCACAGTAAGTAACACAAAGGCAGGCAAAGCAAGAGACCCGTGTTAGCACCATGGACAATAACTGTGGCTTTTTATGTTCCCAGACTTGATACAGAACCAGACCAGTGAACAGAAGACCCAGGAGGCAGCAGTGCAGAGGAAAGGTCAGCAAACTCTGTAACCCCCACCTAGCACTCCTCTCACTGGACACAGGAATGTTAGACCTGACTCTAGGAGAAGTCCACATTGTTTTAGAATAAAGGATTACTTTAAAGCTGCACAAAGCGAGTTATTCTATTTTGCTAGTTACCTTTACAACATAAGTGTATTTATGATGCAAAAACACTTTAAAAAATAAATGGATTTCATTGCAAATTCTACTTCAGTGGCTATGCCATTTTTTTTTTTTCCAAATAAAATACATTCCCCTTTATAATTGCAAATATAGGTATACTTGGGAAAAAAGGCACTTTAACTCTCCCTCCCCTCCATTTCTGGGAGCTACTTAGAAATACTCCTCTAAAGATGATTAACTTGTAGCTACAGCAAAGGCAGGCCTGTGATAACTAACTCAGCTCCTGTGTCCTCTGCTGGGTGCGTAGCATGCAAATATTATCTTTAAACTGTGCTGAGTAAACAAGATCTAAAGCAAACTGAAAGCCTAGACCTGTTTCTCATCAGAAGCCTGACTGTTTTCTAGACCAGGTTTTCACCACGCAGACCCCACCTCTCACTCCTGCCAAGGAAAACCAAAATGCTCTGTTAGAGCACCCTGAGGAGGAGGAGGGAGAAGAAAGTCTGAAGGATGAGATGCAGAAAAGGACATCCCAGCTTACAGCAAAGGAGAACGAGGTGAGGAGGTCACTGAATCGCAGCTGGGATCCAGCTGCTCATGTAAATGCTCCAAGAGCAGCACAACACAACCAAAGCTCCTGGAAGTAACCTAAGCTTGGTGCCTCCTGTCAGGATTCTCTCCAGTGAATTTTTATCCCGATACCACGTAAACCCCCAATGCAGCATCTGGGTGCCAGGGCAGGGCGCCCGCAGCCTGGCACCTGGGGCTGTAGCAGCAGAGCCCTCTCCACACAAACCCATTTCTGCTCGCACACACAGGGCAGTCTCACTAGTCTCACAGGGAAAACTCAAAGCCACACTTTAAGAGCCAAAACTCCTTTGGTGGAGAGGAGGAAAAGAAAAGGCTTGCAAATAACAGGAAAGGTCTACTGACAAAAGCAACGCCCTTACAACCGAGCTGCAAAAAAAAAAAAAATCAATGCTTTCCAGCCTGTTACACGCTCTCTCCCATCAAACTGTGCCCTCTGCCAACCAACAGCCCCACAGTTCTTACAGCTGTACTCAGATAGCAAGGACTTACAAAAAAAAGAAATTATAACTTACTGTAGCAGAGTCACACAGGAGAAGAGCCTGTCCTGCCAACCCATGCTGGTGAGCGCGCCACTGCCATCGGGCATCACCCAGCATCACCCGGGGAGGGGTTTTGTAAAGCACAATCGCAGCAAAAGGGAACAGCTGGGGCAGCTCTTGCAGCCCCCCAGCACAGGCAGCCTCCTTCCACCGCTGCTGCCGCTCACACCCCGCTCGCTGGGAAGGCGGCAGGGTCTCATGGCCGTTCAGGAAAAAAGGTGCTCCCTGGGTTTTGGGGTTGCGCAGCACAACCAAGGTGCCTGTCTCGCGCGCCCCACGTGCAGGGGGTTTTAAGGACTCTGCAACTGCTCCTGCAGCCAGTGAAATGCAGACTGAATTTCACAACGAGAGGAAAAGCCTGCCACAAGTTTGCACTCTGCGTCTTCTTCCTGACCTGCACACGCCTGTGGTCACAAAAAATAACTATTGCTTTTCTCTTCCGTGTGATGTGAAAGTGGCAGCAAAGCGGAGCAGGTCACAGGCTGGCAGCAGACCAGGCATTGCCTCTATCCCCGCGTTCCCAGTAACACCGAGATCTGCTCTGTCCTCTCTAGGTGGTACACGGGGACACACGGGTGGCAGAAGTGAAAATCCCCCGTCACCGCAGTGCCCGTGCACGGGCGAAGCGCTGCAGCTGCTGCGGGAGCCCTGCTGCGCTCGGTGCGTACGAAAGCGAGGGGATCCCTCCTGCTAACGGCCCCTCGCTCTGCTTGCAGTGCACGGAGCTGCGCTCGGAGCTGGAGGCCCTGAGCGAGGAGTACCGCTCCTGCCTGACCAGGCTGCGCCAGTGCCGGGACGAGCTCAACCGCTTCCAGAGCAAGCAGGCACAGGTGGGAAGTGTTCCTCGCTCCAACTCCCAGTGCTTTCAGACCGAGGCTGCAGATCAGTCTGGGAAAACTTCCCCCATTTGTTGGATTTCCCCCACGTGCTTGCTAGGGATGAGATGAGAAGTTTCTTCGCCCCATCCATTTCCTAGTAACACTTGCTTCTCCTTGCAGAGACGGCGCGGTCACTGGATCCCTCTCCTGGTGGCAGTGATAGCAATGGCCGTAGCCACCTTCCTTGCAAGTTACAGGCTATGAAGGACCTTCTCGATGACTGACTTCATTGCAGGAACTGACTTTTGCTTCACCAAAGTGCCCTTGCTGCTGTGCACCCTCTGCTTTTTTGTACTGGTGTGTTTGGTTCATAAACTGAGCTGGTCGCAGCACTCCCGACAAACTCCTGCGGCTCCAATAAACGCTGGGAGACCACCCCTTCCCTCGGCTGCTTCCGTTACTCTGCTCCAGTCGAAGGTTGTGCTGCCCAGTTCCTGCGGTGCTGAGTGACAAAGCTGCTCAAACTACCACTGCCAGGGCTCACGGGGGCGGGAGGGAGGGAGCAGCAGGGACAGGGCATCCCGTGCCCTTGTGATCCAGCCTCCCTGGTTTTCATGCCTGGTGGCCGAGAGGACTGCAGAATTCTCTTCCTTTCCTTATTGCCTCCCCAAATGGGAGATACTTGACCCTGGACCATCTCTACTGGTACCTGACAAAGAAACCCAGCTCAGGGAGGCTTTTTAGCGCAGTCCCCATACTCCCCCTGTGCTCTGCCTGTCCTGAGCAATTTTCC